ATAGATAGATAGATAGATAGATAGATAGATAGATAGATAGATAGATAAATGTGGAATATAGCTTTTAAACACAAGGCTCAGTCAGTTCTTCAAAAAAGAAAAGGAGGAAGAGGAGGTGACGGAGGAGAAGGAGATGGTCAGTTTCTGGCTGTTTTCTGGCTACATTGTACATATATTTATTGGAATAAATAAATATATTGTATATTTATTGGAATAAGGTGATTATTGGGAGGCAAATGTCTTTTGCTCTTAATGTGGGTGAACTCTGTAGAAACGTGTTATCTTCCCGTGTGCTTAGGTAGAAATCAATCCTGAGGACTCCGTGCAGCCTCTGTGGCCTATTAGTTATGTAACACCGTTAAATCAGTTAGGTATCACTGGCCCATGCTATGCAGTTCTCCCCTGGGATCTCTGAGCTCCTCAGAAACTCAGGTCAGACCTCAGGTCTGATTCCTAAGCTAGAAGGCTGCTGGCTGTGACCTCCCTTGGAGCTGTGGAAGTGATGAAAATCCTGGCAGCAAGGAGGCACAGCCGTTTTTGGCCCCTTGTGTGGCAGTTCCTCAAGTCTGGTCATGCTGGGGACGTCCAGGAAGTTTACCCTCCAACACTTACTACCTTCAGTACTTGGGCTCCACCCTGCCTCTTGCTCACTGTGAATGCTCCTGTAGCTCTGATTTCAAGTCTTAGGTGCATTTGTGTTTGAATGTCTCTGTTGTGAGTACATTCACCGTCAGAGGCGACGCTGCCTGCTGTCTTCCCTTTCTTCAGGGTTCTGCTCTTCTGGTGAGCACCACAAGGACTCGCTGAGCCCTCACAGCTGAAACAGTGGTCTTCACTTAGTTTAAGACAAACTTGAAGTGAACAGGGAGCAAAAAAGAATGCAGTGCTAGTGGCCAACATGCAAAGAGTAGGAGACATTAGGTAAAAGTCAGTATCATTCATAAATGTCAGAAGAAAAGACGAGGAAAACTCCTGGCTGCTCTTGGGCAGACTTCCTCCTTGTCTGGCATCTCTGCAGAGGCCCCTCCCCTGTTAGGTATAGCCCGCATTGATGCATGCAGCCATTCCTTAGGTTCACCGGATCAGTAACTCTGTCACATTTCTAAGATGCAGCCATTCACATAAGGATCTGCAAATTCTTTGTTTGTTTGTTTGTTCCCTGTGTAGGCCTGGCTGTCCTAAAACTCAGTCTGTAGCCCAGGCTGGCCTCTAACTCAGAGATCTGCCTGCCTCTGCCTCCCCAGTGCACCACCACGCTCAGCCGCAGATCTGGCCGTTTATAAAGAGAGGAGTGATGATGTGTAAACATGAAGCAATGCGGACAGATTATTATTCTGACTCACCACACAAACTCCTGTGTTTTCTTCATCTCTTACACATACATTTATTTACACGCATAATTATGACTAGATCTGGTAATTTTTTTTAAAATAAATGACGTCATTTAGATATATCCCAGAAAAGTAAACTCATTCAAGTGTAGGAAGTCTTTGAAAAAGAAAAATACTGAAAGTTTGGATAATGAGCTGTTGGTCAAAGAATACATTCTACAGTAGGGTGATTCTCTGTTTTCAGTAGGAAAAATGGGGATAAAAGTTTGCCCATGAATTAGTTAGACACAATTTAAAAATAGAGTCAGTCATGACTTTGAATTAAAAGCAAGCACAAACAAACCAATGAATCAAATGTTTACCTGAGACCAAGCGTTTGTGTCTGTGAAGTCCGCTGGCAATACTTCATGGTCTCCTTACATCTTCTTTCAATAAAGAAATTATAATAGTAATCCCTGTTGGAGGAAACCCTATTGGATTACCTTATCTGAAGGCTCATAGCCATTTGCTTGGTTTGGATTTAAGGCTGTATACTTTAAAGTTTAATTAATACAATGATTGGAAAATGCATGCCTTTAGAGAAGATTAAAGCAATTTGTCTACCTTGAACCTTATGTATGAAAGATGGCATGTAAACTAAATGAATTACATCCAAAGATTAAGTTAGAAATGAAAGAAGTTTGAAGTAAACTTCTGACTTATGTGGAAGTTCATAGGAAAGTTGAACAAAAGTTTGATTCTTTAGAGAAAGAAGAAATACTGTATGTGTGTAAATATGGTCCTAAGACAGGCTGGACACCTATTGCCTCAAAGGAGCTCTGGAAATATGCAGACAGGGAATAACATGGCCAAAACATTTTGACGTATACATTTACTTCTGCATATATTCTTAAAAATCACATTATGTAAAGTACTAATTTGGAAAAAAAAAACTCACTTTTTTCCTCTTTTACAGTTGGTTGACTTTATTCAGATTTCTCATGTGTCTCTCACCTCCCAGCACTTGCCATTTCCGTCTAAATCCTTTGAGCTTCTGTATTCTTTTACTTACTTTTTATACTGCCTTCTTTCAGCATAAATTGTATATCAAACTACAGATGCTGCTTTAATGAGAGAAACAAGTTATTTAAAAGTTTTTCCTGAGGTTAGAGAGACAGCTCAGTGGTTGACACCTGCTCTTGCAGAGGTCCGAGGTTCTGTCCCCAGCATCCACATCAGGCAACTCATGACTGCTTGAAACTCCAGCTCAACTGGACATGATGCCTCTGACTTCTCCATGCACTTTAAGCTCACAGGCACATGCCCACATACATACACACAATTAAAGATGATGAAAATAAATCTTAAAAAATGTTTTTTCTTACAGGTAAATAGTTTTGATTTCTAGTGTGTAACCAGCACATACAGTGCCTATTATCTTTATTGGTTTGGGGGATGGGAAAGCTGTCGTGGAACTTGCTCTGTAGATCAGGGTAGCCTTGACAATGATCTCCCTTCTCTGTGCCACATACTCAGCTTCTTTAAAAGATTTTAACATACTTCTACCTGCTATTTGAAATCACAAGAAGTAAGGCTTCATTATTAATGCTGCATGGGAATTCGTTTCCAAACACATTTTCAAGATGATTCCTACAAACACTGAAAATTAGCAATGACTGAGTTGTTTCTGCCTTGGCTGTTTTCTTCAGATAAAACTTTGTTATAGGCAATAGAGTACAGTAGTGCTAGGAATTGAACCCAGGTCTGCTGGAAGAGTACCAGTGCTCTTAACTGCTGAGCCACCTCTCCAGTCTTACAGAGCTTAGGTAAGGCCTCATTTCCTCCCCGCCCCCACCCCCATCCCCTTTGCTGAAGACTGATCTATGCACTGACTCCTGTATCTGTGGAGAATTCTCTTTGTTCATTCCTTCAAGATTATTCTTTAAATCTTCAGTAATTTGCAATAAGTAGACAGATAACCTGGAGCAGGAAAGAATCTTATTTAAGGACCAGTCAAGGCGATGTAATTAATCTTGGTATTATTGAAATACCCATTTTCCAAAGAAGATAGGGACCGAGGAGACAATGGATTTGTGGTAGGCCTTGTCATGAACACTTCCATCCTTGCTGTGGCATTGGCTACCAGAGCCGGCTTTACCTTTCATGTGGCAAATGACCACTCTGTCGTTAAGCTCTCTCTCTGGTGCATTCCCAACACAGAATTAGAAGGGAGCAAGCAGTTCGGCAGGAGATGTTGCCATTTTCTTGATAACTATGGACTGTGCTCTTAGCCATGGTCTGCGGAAGATGAGAGAGGTTGGTGTTTTATTTCTAAGGCTGTTGATGGAGGGAGATCACAGGGCTTAGAAATTTCTGAGGCGTTGGAGGTGGTATTGGCTGGTAGGTTTTTGTCCTGGCTAGTCTAGGAAATGCTTACTTTTTACAAATTTAAACAAGTTGAAGCGGCAAATAGTTTCACTTTCACATCTTTTATGAAAAAAAGCTATTATTATAACCCAGTGGTTCTCCACCTTCCTAATGCTTCAACCCTTTAATACAGTTCTTCATGTTGTGATGACCCCCAACCATGAAATTATTTTTGTTGCTACTTCATAGCTGTAATTTTGCTGCTGTTATGAATTGTAATGTAAATATTTTTGGAGATTGAGGTTTGCCAAAAGGGTGGTGACCCACAGGTTGAAAACCACTGGTCAACCTTTTTAAGGTAAGAATAACTCACTTTTTCTTTGGGGTTTTTCAGACTTGTATGAACAATATTAGCATCCTTAGTGTGCCAGAAATATAACAATCCAGCACTCTGTATGGTAGCAATAGATTATAAACATGCAAATAATTGTGGATTTTTCTTTTTATCTCTTAACAGTGGAGAGAGTGGAGCGGGAAAACCTTTCAGACTATTGTGTTCTGGGCCAGCGTTCAATGCATTTACCAAATATGAACCAGCTGGCATCCCTGGGCAAAACCAACGAACAGTCTCCTCATAGCCAAATCCACCACAGTACTCCAATCCGAAACCAAGTGCCCGCCTTACAGCCCATCATGAGCCCTGGTCTGCTCTCACCCCAGCTCAGTCCACAGCTTGTCAGGCAGCAAATAGCCATGGCCCATCTGATAAACCAACAGATTGCCGTTAGCCGGCTCCTGGCTCACCAGCATCCTCAAGCCATCAACCAGCAGTTCTTGAACCATCCACCTATCCCCAGAGCAGTTAAGCCAGAGCCAACCAACTCCTCTGTGGAAGTCTCTCCTGATATCTACCAGCAAGTTAGAGATGAGCTGAAGAGGGCCAGCGTGTCTCAAGCTGTCTTTGCAAGAGTGGCATTCAACCGCACACAGGTATGATTAATACCTTTCTCACTGGGGATTAAGATACAGAGTAGGGAAAAAATGTGACATGTCTTATTTCTTTCTAATCTCTTCAAAATGTCTTATGGAGAAGGAGATGGCTCAGGAGATGGTTGTTGTCCAAGCCTGAGGACCTGGGTCCGGATCCCCACCACCCACGTAAAAAGCTGGGCACTGAGCACACGTCTTCGAACCTAGTGTGGGAGAGGTGGCAGGGAGAGATGAGTGGGAATCTGAAGATCTCTAATCAGCAAGTCTAACCCATCTGTGACATCCAGGGACATCAAAGAGACCCTACCTCAAGATAGATGATAGGTAGGTAGATAGATAGATAGATAGATAGATAGATAGATAGATAGATAGATCGATAGATAGATAGATAGATAGATGATTGATAGATTTAGATAGATAGATGATAGAAAGATAGATGATAGATTTAGATAGATAGATGATAGAAAGATAGATGATAGATAGATAGATAGATAGATAGATAGATAGATAGATAGATAGATAGTTAGATAGTTAGATAGATAGATAGAAGAACCATAATGAAGACCCACAATGTCAACTTCTGGCCTCCATATGCATCGCACCTCCCCGTACTTAGGTCATACACACACGGGCACACATAGTATACAGAAACAATATAAATTTCAGCACACACATAATTGAATAATATTCTTCTGTCATGATACAATGTCGCCACTCATCCCTACAAGATCTTAGTTAATTAATTTCAATAACATAATGAGTATCTGAGAACCTACCATCCAGCCCAGCACCCAGATCCTCCCACTGATTGACTGGGTGTCTGTGTATGCTCCATCCTCAGCCTTACCATGGTGTTTCTCTGGATGGACCTTTGATTGTGAATTTTGTGATTATTACCACCATTCTTGAGGCATCATGGAAATAAAATTGATGGCTAGTATGTTAATGGATGCAGGTGGAAGCAGCAGCAATGGTATCAGGGCTTGAGCCTGGTGGCTGAGAGAAAAGGAGTCATCATGAGACAAGTCAAGGGACATACTGCAAGAGAGGCTGAGTAAGGCTATAGTGATTGTTTGGGCTCTACGTGTCTTTACTTTGAAATACTGGCAGATTTCATATGAAGATTGGCAGTGAACACTGAAACTGTAAGCTTGGCACGAATAATAGGGGGTAGGGATAGAAACAGAGATTTGAAAAGTGTTAGAGAACCTGGAATTTAAACTAGGGGATGAAGAGGTAGTGTGATGCAATTGTTTGATAAGAAACCATCATAGCTGGACACAGTGGCGCACGCCTGTGATCCCAGCCCTCAGGGAGGCAAAGGCAGGCGGATCTCTGTGAGTTTGAGGCTTGCCTGGTCTACTAAGGGAGTCCTGGACAGCCAAGGGTACATAGAGAAACCGTGTCTTGAAAAAAAAAAAAAACCCAAAAAACAAGAAACAAACAAAAAATAGAAACCTTAATAATTTCATATATTTGAACACTTGGTCCCCAGGTGGTGGAGCTGCCTGGGGAGGTTGTGGAACCTTTAGGAGATGAAGTCTTGCTAGAGGAAATATGTCACAGTGGGTGGGTTTTCAGGCACTATAGCTTCCTGTTTCCTTTCTCTCTTTAACTGTATGTCTCTGAAAATGTAAATCTTCCTGCTCCTGCCAGCATCCCACACCTTCCCTGCCACTGTGAACTTCAAACCAATTAACTCTTCCTTAATTTGGTTTTGTCATGAGATTTTATCTCAGCTATAGAGAAAGAACCATTGCAGGTAGTAACCACTTCCACCTTCAGAAAGGGAAACAGAGGGAATGCTGGAAGAATGCATAGGTGGTGACTGGGATAACAGGAAGATGGTAGCCACAGTGAAGAACCTCCAGGAGATTCATTCAAGGGTGGAAAGCCACAGTTTGCACAGAAAGAGAGGCTTGTCATCATGCCGTGAGATTTGGCATAATGTTAATTGGTTGGGAGAAGTCCTTATCAAATTTCAGAGTAGAGGTTCATTACAGTGGTGAGGCCAAGGGCCAGCATTGCAGGCTTAAGTAGTGATTAATTGCTCAGGATGCAGAAGCAGATTGCTTTTACAAAACCGAGTATTAAAAAGGCAACCAGAAGCAGATGAAGAGCTAGGGAGTCAACCCGAGGTAGGAGGTGCTTTGTAGCCTCAAATAGATGAAGCATCATGGAACAGTGATGGAGTCATTGATTGTGGTTGGGCAACTGCTGGCTGGGAGCAGAAAGGCACTGGGGCTCTTGGGGTTCAGCATTTATGTGTTGGATATAGAAGGACGGGAGAGGTGGAATCTCTTGCTCCCTTGGCTCTTAGCTACCTTATGCATTTTGTTGATGACAGCCTGTTCCCATCACTTGAACAATGCATTCAGGGAGACCCACATGTTTCACGTATCTTCTTGCGACTTATAAGACTCAGGCAACATATGCTTGTTCATGGTTGTCTAGACCGGGGTCGTGTATGGTTCTGATCCTTTGGAGAAAATCTGTTGCCCACTACTGAAAACACAAATCAGAAGGGTGCACCTCTCTCCTGCACTTCTCTGTGTGGGTGTGTTCTTCATTCCATCATCCATGTGCTTGAGTCGACATTTCACGCCTAACCAACATTTTATTGCCTAGCTATGTGCATAGCTCTTTTTGGCTGAGGGTAAAATTGAAAGCATGGTTGTACTACTTTGGATTTTTGAAGTGAATTCAGTATATGTTTTACCCAAAGAACGTGAAGCATGAGGAAAGACTCATAGTGAGTCAAGACAAAAGACAGTCTTGGTATGCTGAAGAGGGTATCCGGTACCAACGCACTGGTCTCCTGGGGCCTGCCGTCTCCAGAGGAACCCTTTATGTCTCTCCTTGTGGATTAAGATTTTCTTGGCATTGCCACCTTTGAAGTGCCATGTTAAAAAAAAAAAGCCCAATTGAAGCACAGAACACATTTTATTATTTTCCTCCTGCCATTAAATTTGTAAGATGGCTACACCCAGAAAGAAACATTCACTTTCAATCAACATGAGCTTGAGTTCATGGGCCAGCCTTGAGGATATCAAATAGAAACTACATAGGAATGTATGAGTATTTCCTTTTTAAATTCTGCTTTTAATTTGGGAAAGCTTTTCATCCCTCTGGGATCATAACCTGTTGTGTATAAGCCCAGCCTAATCAAGGTAGATGGTATTGACAGAATGACATAGTTTGAACTTGAGCCGGAGGTCAGCAGGCAGATTGTTTTGCTGTGTGTTCCACACTCACTAACAGCACAATTGGGCAGCTGGATTTACCAGCTGTATTGTTAAACGGGAAATACGGTGTAGTGTACCCCATGAAACCAGCCATGGATTTTCCAAATGGTGAGGCTTTTTTGAGTGGAATCAGACATTTCTGGGCGATTGAGAAAACTTGCCAGGTAAAATTCATTATGTAAAAGTGGTTAATGACATATTAACCTTTTTTTTTTCTAGAAAGAATGTCAATTTCTTGGCTGTACATAACCAGAACCATTCATTTTTTGATAGACATCTTGTCCTCAGTTGCTGTCCTGATGTATAGCATATTCTCATGTGCCTGAGTATTTTTCAAGAACTAATTGACATCACGAGGACTCATTTGTTATTAACTCTAATAAAAAGTGATCTGTCATGTGACCGTTTTGTCCCTGGATTTCTGCTTGAAGATTTAACAAGAAGTCTCACTAGTCTGTGTATGTGTGTGTGTGTAGGTGTGCAGAAGCTAAAGTCATCTGCAAACATTCATCAATCCAGCATGAATATAAACATAAAAACTTTGTCTGCCCGTTTTTAAGATTTCCAGATGAAAACCTCCTGCTTACAGTAAACAGTATTTGAAAAATGCACGTTATTGAAAGAGACTATTTATAACCTTAGATGGCTGATTCATATACCATTTGATTATGTAAACATGACATCATTAGGGACTATATTTCTAGGAGTTGTTTTTTGTTGTTTTGTTTTTTAGGGTAATACACAGTGATGGGTTTTATTATAGCCTTTCCATGCACAAATGTTATATTACTATAACTTGTTCTCACTGTTCCCCTTCCTTACTGTCTTTCTGTATCCCTTGCCTACTCCCACCCCTGCTGGTTATTAATGCATTTAAATTTTGGGTTTTTGTTTTGTTTTGTTTTTTGTTTTTTTTTTTTTTTTCAAAAGCAGACTTTCTCTGTGTAGTTTCTCTGTGGCTGTCCTGGAACTCCCTTTGTAGACCAGGCTGGCCTCAAATTCACAGAGATCCCCCTGCCTCTGCCTCCCAAGGGCCGAGATTAAAGGTGTGCGCCACCACTGCCTGGCACATTTTAATTTTGATACGTGTCTTTCAAAGTCATGTATGCATGTGCCTGATGATACCTGGTTTTGTATCACGCTCATGGCTTCTGGTTTTGGCAGTCATCAGTTACTGTTACTTTTTATGTTTGTTCTTGTTTACCAACAAAAACGTGTATCGTTTAGACTAAGAGCATGCAAGTTGAGTTTGTGTTCTGTACAAGGTATTTAGCACATTTATGTCAGAAATGCCAGGATGTGAGCGCTCCGCTGTGGCTTGAGGCTGGTATAGTTCTGCACACGGTGTATGCAGTAGCTCAGTGCCTGTCCAATCTGTTGGAAGGAATGGCTAGCTCTTCTTATCATGCCGTTTTTATAGTAAAAGGAACCTAAGGGGAACAGTGAGGTGAGAACAATAGCCGATTCCTCACCTGTCCTTTTAAGCACTTTCTCTTGTGGTCCCTGTAGGACTACAGAGACAAACAAATACCCTTGCTTTGTCTGTGATGGTCCACACTCATGCTTCTGCTTCCGATGTGGATTCTTCAGTTAAAGGACTGCCCTTAGGCTACTACCTGTGGGTAGCTTTGTTCTCATCGGCAGAAAGCTGGAAAAGCTTGGTCCACTGTGTGATAGGAGCCACAGTGACGAGCCCACTGCCTCTACTTCTGTGGAAGCGATTACTGATACTTCAGAGATCTCTGTATAATCAGC